AATGTTCCTTAGTTACGGGGTGCTGGGAGGTGGGGAAATGTTCCTTAGTTACGGGGTGCTGGGAGGTTGGGAAATGTTCCTTAGTTACGGGGTGCTGGGAGGTGGGGAAATGTTCCTTAGTTACGGGGTGCTGGGAGGTGGGGAAATGTTCCTTAGTTACGGGGTGCTGGTAGGTGGGGAAATATTCCTTAGTTACGGGGTGCTGGGAGGTGGGGAAATGTTCTTTAGTTACGGGGTGCTGGGAGGTGGGGAATTAATGTTCCTTAGTTACGGGGTGCTGGGAGGTAATGTTCCTTAGTTACGGGGTGCTGGGAGGTGAGGAAATGTTCCTTAGTTACGGGATGCTGGGAGGTGGGGAAATGTTCCTCAGTTACGGGGTGCTGGGAGGTGGGGAAATTAGAAACTGTTTATCGATCATGGTTTAGTGCAAGTTGTGAAAATTTATATAGTCCCAGAAACAATTTGCATATTAAAAGGTCACACTAACTACTGAAAGTTGAATGAAAATTTGCCCAGTGTGACATCAAAACATATAATTTTTGACCCTCAAAAAGGGCATTTTGGATGAGCAGACGTACTACCGAAGTTTTAATGAACTTATACACTGTTTAATATTTTATATGAATAAACGTATACAATAAATTATACTATATACTATACTATATAATATTAATATATTATGATATTATATATTAATTTGCTCTCAGGTGTTGGATCATCGATGGTGTACCCACAATTGACCATCGTGACTCAGCAATATTTCACGACCAAGAGAGTAACCGCGCTTGCTCTGGCCGGCGTAGGCATGCCTCTCGGCAACATTGTAATGCCTCCTCTTGTACACTACCTTCTTGATAACTTTGAATTACGAGGTGAGGTTAAATGATTTTTCTTGAAATAATATTGATAAAAGCAAATGCTATGGCAATCTCGTTGCCATATTGTTCTTTGATTCTACACTTTTAAGGCCAGGCTAAGCAGTTTTTCTAAAAATTTCAAATTTCAACTTCAACGGTGAATGATATTTTTTTCAATAAAATTTTTATGACCACAATTTCAATGAGTCCTAATTTTCGTGATCTGCTAAGCCACGTAAGAAATAAATTATATTTTTATGATTTGATAAGTCACAATCTCAGAATGGCCACTTGTGTTGATTAAAATTTAAAAATTGTGAAAAATGAAAGTTTTTTTTTTATTTTACACACCATCTTTTAATGGAAATATGACAGCTTATCTAATTTATTTTCGCCGATACAGAATACGTGAAACATTGAAGTTAAATAATTTTTTTCCAGAGGCTCTTTGGATCTGGTCAGGAATTTTGCTGAGCACCTGCTTCGCGGCTCTGCTCTTCCATCCTGTACAGCGGCACATGAAGCAACAAATTCGAATTATTCCGGAAGAAGCTCAAAATACTTTTAATTATATATCCTGGCAACGCAGTCGGAGGAGAGATAGCGTTCAAATGGCTTTTATAGACGAAGTCGAGCTCGCTAGAAGTGGCAGTTGCGCCAGCATTACTTCAAAATCCCAAATAAGAAAAACACGACAACGAAATTCAGTATCAACTTCGCACCAAGACGAATTGAGAAATAAATTTTCGAGTTCTACTGCTCCGGGAAAATTGACTCTTTCCTTTTCGGAGCCGAAATTTCTAAAAATCAACATGACGCATTCGTTCATTGAAAATAAAGATTCGGGAAAAGAAGAAGAAAAACTTTTCAAAACTGAAAACAATGTGTTGGGAGCATCACACAGTTTTACCGAAACGGGGCATGATGGCTCTGAACCAGAGACGAAAATTGGAAACGTGAAAAATGAACAAGCGACCAAAAATTGGAAAGGGTTTGTGGAAGAATTGGACGAATTAATAAAGTCTTATAAAGATGTCGTGTCGCACAAAGTATTCTTTATAGCGTGTTTCTCGTCAGCTGTTGTTCGACTGGTAAGTAAGCATTTTCTTCAATTTCAACTCTAGTCAATTTAAGTGAAATTATAATTATTCGTCAATAATGCAAATTCTGTACGAGTTTTAAATTAATCCCTTAAAGCCCAAAATGTATTAAACTCATTCACCATTAAGTTTTTCTCGTAGCTGAATTTGAAAATCATTTATTACTGCAACTTATAAATTATAAAAGATCCGTTAAGTCTAGAAGCAGAGAGGAGAATAGACTCGTGATATGTAGTACATATTCGGGGCCATGTTCACCGCCCTATCTTGTCTGGGTGAGAGGAGAATAGACTCGTGATATGATGTACAGTACATATTCAGGGCCATGTTCACCGCCCTCGCTTGTCTAGGTGAGAGGAAAATAGACTCGTGATATGTAGTACATATTCAGGGCCATGTGCACCGCCCTCGCTTGCTTAGGTGAAGGGAAAATTGACTCGCATTATGAAGTACATATTTGACACATGTTCACCGTCCTTGTTTATCTCGGTAATGGGAAAATGATTGCTTATCTTGGTGTGGGTCTTGGTGTGGGGGAAAATAAACATGCACAATGTAGTATATATACGGCACCGTATTCACCACCCTCGTTCGTCTGAGTGAGGGTAAAATAAATATGTATCGTTTAATATATATTCGGCCCCGTGTTCACGACCACGTTGGTTTAGGTGAACGAAAAATATGCTCATATTTTGCAGGGATATTAGGTAGCATGTGTACCGCCCTCGGTTGTCTAAATGAGGGAAAAATAAACGTGTACAATGTAGAACATATTTGGCACCGTGTTCTCCGCAGGTCAAATGTGAATCTTAGTTCTAATTTGAGCTCGAATGCTTTTAACCATCTTTTTCTTCAATCATTGGTAGTGGGATTTACGATAACCAAATTCTCATATCTCTTTTTTTTTCCGAGCCACACTTTTGGAAAGTTTGGAACATGAAGGTACGATATTTCCAGCAGCTGCTACTTTGATCCCGCGGATTCAACATACAACTCTTACATTATGGCATTTATAACGCTATATGTTTCCGCTATTCCATTAAGTTCGACTTATTTTAACAATGACCTAAATTTCGTACAGTTTTATCATTAGTTTGCTTTAATTATAAGTTTACCAAGCAAAATAATAATAATAATAATAATAAAATATATGGAAAGCAACCTAACAGCAATTTCACGACATCATCTTTGGGAGTATAATGAATTTACAATGCGTTTTCTTTGATTTTAAAATTTAAAAAAAAATTGATGCTGCGGTGGCTGCTTCATCAAGTACAACGAATGTACAACTCTCTTCTAGCAGATTTATAGTACACTTTTTCCATGATAAAATTTTTCACGGAATGATTCAATTTTTTGGTTGATGTCAATTACTTGTAATGGAGATGAAAATTTTGTAGCGGTGCAAAAGACTCAGAAGGGAATTTTCTTTTTTTTTACTCAATCTGCAATTTTCACACCCTGACATTTATCATGAACATGATTTTCATGGTTATATGAAGTGTAATTTTTCTTATAGAGATGAACACTTCATCTTCATTATTAACTTTAGTATGGTTAACTTACGATTAAAGTAGTTTTCCTTGAATCAATATGCTTAGGACAAATCTATATGATTTCCAAGACGATTTCTTCGTATATAAATTTTCGTTTGTTCCAATCGCTATGCCTAGGATAAATCTATATAATTTTATTTATATAGATTTGTCTTAGGCTTAGATTTGTTAGCTTAGGCTTAGGCTGTAGATTTGGCCTAGGCTAGGCAAATTTTCGTTTGTTCTAATCGATATGCCTAGAATAAATCTGTATAATTTTCAAGACGATTTCTTCGTATATAAATTTTCGTTTCTTCTAATCGATATGCCTAGGACAAATCTATGTAATTTCCAAGACGATTTATTTCGTATATAAAATACAAATTTCAAGACGATTTCTTCATATATAAATTTTCGGAAATTTCTTGGTGCTGCAGTGGCAGCATTAGCAGGCAACCTGACCGTGCTGTACACGTCCTGCTTCCTGATGGGTTCTGGCATCGGCGTGCAGAGCAGCACGTCATCCGTGCTGCTGGTGGAGGCCATAGGCATGGCCCTCCTCAGCAGGGGCCTCGGCCTCAGCCTTTTCTTTGTCGGTATCCTGGGCCTCATCGTCATGCCTCTCAATGGTGGGTGATGTCCTGGGCCTCATCGTCATGCCTCTCAATGGTGGGTGATGTCCTGGGCCTCATCGTCATGCCTCTCAATGGTGGGTGATGTCCTGAGCCTCATCGTCATGCCTCTCAATGGTGGGTGATGTCCTGGGTCTCATCGTCATGCCACTCAGTGATGGGTGAGATTATGGCATGAATGAAAGGTAAATGATTCCATAAGTAAGACGTATTGATAGTAATATTGTTATGTCCTTTGATTTTTAATGAGAATTGAAACAATGAAACTGATATAGGAGCGTTTGTTTATATAAATTAACTAAAACTGCCTATGTTTGATGATTGACTTTAATAAGTCGGATATATTTGATGATGAGGCTAGTGCAATTTTGAATGATGTAGATTGATAACTATTTACTTGGCCCTATTGTCGCGCCATCAAACTTATTACGCCATCTTACTTAGTCAATGGGATAAAATGACTGAAATTTATGAGTGTTTCATTATCTAATACCTTATCATTTAGGTATACAGGGAGACACTGATAAATGTTAAAGCAAATGCTTTTTCCATTTTCATTATGTTTTTTTTTCTGTCAAAAGCCAACATTATCGTGTTTATTGCTTTTACAGGAGTGTTGCCTGACGTCACAGGTTCGTACAGTGCGTGCTATTTCGTGCTGTTCGTGTGCGGTTTGCTGCCTCCGCTGTTATGGTCTGCAGGATACAAGTTCATTTCGTGGATCGAAGAAAGAAAAGATCGGAAATTTGACGTTGGATTCCCCGATGATCGAGACCGAAATAATGTAAGGCAAATGAGGAAACATCTCGCTACCGAAGTGGAATGAGAAAGACGTATTAATGTTGCAAGGCTTGAATAAAGTGGTATGTGAGCTTTCGGGAAAAAAACATTATTCTTACAAGAAATTGGTAAATTTTCTTGAAAAATTTATCTTTCAGGGACAAATGAGTGGACGAGGGATGAGTTGGCATCGAAATTCATCGATGAAGTAACAAAGCGAAAAGATATTTTCTATTATATTTAATATGAATCTAAGGTTCGTAGGGTTTGTTCAGAATGAAAAATCGTCCAAAATTTTCAACAGTTACTGAAATAAATGAAAAAACAGCTGAGTACAAATCATGACTACTAATCAAGTTATTGAATAAACAATTTTAAAGAACATATAAAATGCTCGCGCAGCGTCCAAATAATAATAACGTTCCAAACGGTTGAACAGGCAAAGGCGAATTCTGATGACACAGTTTTGATCATATATGCAAGGTCTAGATAGCATGTGCGCAAGAGGAGTATATCTTAAATAATATACGTTTAAAAATTACTTTTTAAAGACAACACTTCCAAAGAATCAAGTGTCTCTAATCTTACAGATGTACAATGAATTTCTCATTTAATTTTCGAATATTAAAGAAATTAATTTTTCAATTTTTTAATATATAATTTTTTTTATTTACAAACAGTCAATGGAACCAGTGACCATTTGAATATGTTGGGAATGACTGAGCAAATGAACTACGTCGGGATGACTTCTGAGTGCACCCCGAGATCGCTTATAGCTGCCCCGTGTGCTCTGCGAGGTGGGATGCATATTTCTGTTGTATCCCAAGAATATATAATTTTTTTTAAATGTGTGTCAATTATCAGTTATAAGATTTGTAGCTGACAAAATTATTTTTTCACTTTTTTAATATTAAAATTTTTTTTTAATTTTTAAAATCATTTATTTTGACATTTGATTCATGCATTGTCTCCAACTTTACACAAGTGTGCAAAATTTCAGATCGATTGGAGAGGTAGAAATGTGTTAAATATCGATTATAAGATTTGTAGCAGACAAACAAACAAACAACAAGAAGTGAAGTTAAAGAGAAGTGTTGTAAAATACATAAATTTTACAGTCTATGTAATTTGCATTATCCTTCAACTGTCTGAAAAACAAATCAGAAACTACTATTGATACATACGATCCAACATGTACGAGCATGGATTGATGTAAAACATGATTTTCATGTATTTCCTTGAACATGCTTTTTTCAACCTTAAGATAGAATTTTCTGTTCTCGAATTTGAATAAATGTAAAGTTATCCCAAATGTTTGCTGTCGTACTTCGTCGTTTTAGCCAACAACAACAACAAAAAAAAAAAAAGAAAAAGATTGCGTGTTGAAAACGGAATTGACGAGTTGAGTATGCTATCAGTGCTGATGAAAACGAGCTGAATATGATGCAAAATGATAAGACTTTTCAGGGGAAACAATCACATTCATGCGTCCGATTTATATTTTATTAATGCACTTTTATTTCATTGATATTATAATGAGTAGATGAACAAGATTATCTCTACTGTCAAGAAATTTACCCAAAGAGATTTGCCGGCAGCCAAATGTAGAAACATATTTTTGTCCTCGAGATAAGAATGTATAAATCATGTGACGATTAATCTTATATCGCAATAAATTTAATTTATTTATTATATTTAGATTTGCCCATAGTTATTAATGGCAATACGCTAATATCACTTAAAAATTAATGTTTCCTATGACTCAAACTTCACATTTATTCTGGCATTCCATATCTGTACAATTGACAAAGAATTGACATACAAGTAATTCTTATAACCCTAATACTTATATGAATAAAATTTCTAGAAGAAAAATCCTCATTCGAAGAATTTTAGATTTTTCTAAAATAGAGTACTTTGGCATAATCGATTTAAATTATTTAATTTTTAGTTTGAGTTATTTAACTCTATTTTGGTATAGCAAATAAAGAAAAAAGGGCAAAATGATGGTAGTATTACACACTAGTTATGTTTCAAACTTTCAGTCAAAGTCACAAAATATTAAAGAAAACTAGTGTAACTTTAAAATTTGCATTCAAATGCTCTTATAAAGATTATATACGCTTTACTGGAAGACTTAAGAAATATATTAATGTTGAGTTATATAGAGAGCTTGTAGTGGAGGCTTCATGAGCTGTCTAAGAGAATAGAATTTACTTTGAATAGAAGCTAAGATTAGTTGATTGATTATATTTATTGATATAGTAATTTGTAGATAGATTAGTAATTTACGGTGAATAGAATAGAATAGTAGGTCCACAAAGGCATCGTTCAGCAATTTAGGAAGTCGTATGACTGATGAATATAAAATATTAGAATACAAATTTCAACGTATATATGTAATAAATTTTTTACGGACGAAAAGGAGTAAAAGACTTTCGATGTAAAAATAAATTGTTGGATTAAAATTTCAGGATCAAATAAATCTTTATTATATAAAATGTCTTGGACAATATTATCTAAACGATTAATAATCAAAAGTATACAACTACGGAACATGACTTTCACATATTTGAAATGATATTCCAACTTATCAAATCTCAGGATAAAAGTTTAGGTAGTTTACATACAGACTTCAAATTTAATAAATAATTTGCGATATTGGTACATAAGTTAATATTTTTTCAATGGAAGTAATTTCCCAAATATGAAAACTTGCTAAAGAAACAACGGATAACGTTTAATTAAATATGCAAACTTGCTCAATTTAACTCTTAAAATATGAAAAACACGGAAATGACAAAATTATGAATATTGCATTATTCACTCTAAAGTCATTTCTAATAGTTATTATTAAATAGACTATTCCAAATTAAACATAGACTCCAGGCACGTTTCACTATGATGTGTTATTCTAGATTATCATACTATTATTACAGTTAACGTCACTTTAGATTCTTAATTAAGTTCTTCTAAGATTTCTTTCAAATATTGACTAAGCTTAGCATCAGAATTTAATTGTATTCATAATGTTTCGTAGATTGTTATCATTATTGCTGCATTTTCTAATTTTTATTTCTTCGGCTTCAATGATATAATTTAATTTTATTTATTTATACTTTTTGTTCCAATGTGTTTAAAAAAAATGTTAATTCCTCGTACGGTCGGCATAACATAACTAAATAAGCAGATACCACACCGAAACCTTACCATACATATTGTATTGTGTGGTACCTTACCATACATATTGTATTGTGTGTACCTTACCATACATATTGTATTGTGTGGTACCTTACCATACATATTGCATTGTATGTACCTTACCATACATATTGTATTGTGTGGTACCTTACCATACATATTGCATTGTATGTACCTTACCATACATATTGTATAGTGTGGTACCTTACCATACATATTGTATTGTGCGGTACCTTACCATACATATTGTATTGTGTGGTACCTTACCATATATATTGTATTGTGTGGTACCTTATCATACATATTGTATTGTGTGGTACCTTACCATATATATTGTAAGCATCATGTAAACCAAACAATATCCAGTTTACATATTACGCTCTTGCTAAGTTTTGATTAGATCTATTACGATTTATTTGCAACACCCATTGAGTCAATCATGATTATCATTCATAACTTGTACAGACTATGATCATCATACATCGTGCGATAATGAATTATCACATCATGGCGATTTTGCATTAACTACATTGTGATCCTTCACCATATGTTACGGTGAATTATATATACCATATACACATACTGTATAGAGGTGTATATACAGTATGTGTATATGGTAAGAAAAACCCTTATTCTATGGTTTTCATACCATGGGTTTGGCTTTAATATATTTGTATATATGCATATATAACATATTCTCAACTACCCTCTCTAAAACAAAATTTATGATCAAATGCGATCAAATAATTAGCTCATGGATCATAATAAAATAATTACTTTATAAACGAATACTTTTAATATATAAATGCTATGTTTATAATAAATACTATTCAGTTTCATGCTATTAATAAAATATTTTCTTTTTTATAGTTGTTTGAGTTCTAAATTCGAACTGTATTAACAACTCTTATAAAGTTTTGTATAAGATTTTAAAACTCTACAAGTTTTTGTAATGCGACTCAATGGAAATCGATTCCCCCTATGATGCTATAATTTTTTCGCTGGTAATGGGTTTCAGTGCCTAAATTCCCCAAACACGAGTGCAAAGTTCATAACGAACTTGTCCTCAATTTTTTCTATAACAAAAGTTCGGTGTGAATAAGCATTTAAAATATGACGATTTCAATAAAAGAAACACAAACAGGAAATGGTAAAGCCACAGAAAAAATTTCCGTAGATTCAATATAATGTGCGACAACTCCTTGTCACTTCATCGTTTAAATAATAAATCACGGCTAAAAAATTACACAGTAAAGGAAAATCCTAATTCACAAAAAACTATTAATATTTGAAAGTAATGAACATTTGATCAGACGCGCATTCTACGCATATATCGGCGTCACTAACTTTATTAAGAAACAAATTAAATCAAACGTGTAAAATCGTAATGTAACTAACTCTAATAACAATCTGACTATCGCATCTTTATTCATGATAGGCGAACCACATGCAAATGAATGAATGATGGAAATCAAATATCGACAAGAATCAATAACCTGGACAGTATCCTTCTTTGACTCAAAATACTATTATAACTTGAATGTTTACGCAAAAACATCTTTTTTGAATGATGTTTATTCAAACATCATCAAAACATCTCCCAGAAATAAAACATAAATTTAAAACATTGAATGAATATGTACCTTATCCGCAACCTCCATTTCCTCGACTTATTTCTTCGTACGTCTGGATATGAAAGCGTCGATACACTCTAACCAAGATGTCGTACTAAAATATTTTCCGTCATGACAAAATCTACGCCAAACGACATGCGAGAGCCTTCAAATGAAATAAAACCTATTCATGAATTACACTATCACAATTTAAGCCCTACATCAATGGTAAAAACTGATGATAATGATAAATACTGATGAATACAAGTTATTTATTTATTAATTCAAAAGAGCATCATAAGAATCCAAATGGGATTCAAGAGAGCCCTGTGTGATGGAGGTGATTTTTGCAACATGGCCGCAACCTTTCAACTAAAGGATGTAAAAAAGGTAATAAAAATTAGCAAGTAGCATTTTGGC